GTAAAAAAAAAAAGACAAGAAGAGAACATTGGTGAGGATCTGTATCATTTGTATTTACCAACTTCACTCACAGACATTATGTGCATTCACTCACCTTCTGAAACACCTCGTGGAGCTCCTGCAGGGAGGGTCGCACAGCCCGGTGACCACTCACACTGCCTGCATTGCGATAGAAGTCAATGTTGGGCAGTCGGTCCAAAGTGTCATGACCAAAGGCACTGATCACCGAGGGCCGGACCGTCCGGTGATCCCCGTTGGCCTCCTCATAGACAGGAGGTTCATCCAGATTGGAATCATAAGCGGGGTTAACATGCTCCCCGCCGTTTGACTTTAACCTCTCCATCAGGAATGCTGAAGGAGATTCTCAGATTTTAAACAGACAAGTATTCAGTCATCCAACAGTTTTAAAAGAGCAGAGCACTGCATCAACTGGTGGGGTTATCCTCCTTAACTGGTGTGTAGACTAGGCTAGGATTAAACTTCTGCTGCTCCAAGATTCTTGTGTGTAAGCTCGGTTTGTCTCAGATGGCCTACCTTTATACCCTGCATCCCAGGGTCATACACTGACTGCCAGCTATTGGCTAACTCTTTGGATCAACCCTCAGAGAACTGACCCGAGGGGTGTCAGATATGTCCTTGCTCCATCCTAGGGGACACAAAGGCATTGCTTAACGATTAACCAAGTCATAAACGCCAAACGAGAGATAAAGACGCTCATTGCCTGAGTTCTGGAGAATTGATTACTAATATTATTGTCTGAAGTGCAGGGCACATGTTGTTCTGTAGCTGCAGTTTATGGGGCTATGGGTGGCATTTCCTCAGACCTTTGGATGAATCATCGGGAAACATCCACAAGACAATTCCTACGAGAAGAAAGCAAATATAACTAAGTAGGAAAAGTTTCAAGGTTACAGACCCTTTACGACATGCATGACTGTGGAAGGAAAATTCAAACCCAATATGTAATGACAGAAAGATACATTTCATAACAGATACATAAGCAATAGGATATGGTCAATAAAACTAGTGTGATAACAGGAGTGAAATTAATCTTATAGCGACTAAGATAATGGGTTCATATAGTTATATAACTGATTGAATAAATGTTATCTATAATGAATTTCTTTGCCGCAAAGTTGATGGTAGCACTGGCAAAATGGCCATGTTCATGAGGAAAATGGGAGTTAATATGAGACCATGAATTACAGGAACACGCCGGAGGCACTTCTCTATAGCCACATGACTTCTAAAGTGCATTTAAAAGACCTCTTAACAGGTAAACTTCCTTATTACTGATACACCACAGTGATTTATGCACAGAGTGAAAGGCAGGCTAATGACTAGAAATCTGACCTTGGCTATACTGCAGGCTGAGAAAAATACTCAAGCACGTGTTCTTATGTGCAGATTGAAAGGAAGCAATCAATTGCACAATGTTTATCAGATTCGAAACGCGGTGGTTCAAAGTTGTTGCGATCTTCTCCCAGAATTGTACTGAGTCATACTGAAGAAAGCAAATTTTCCACATGGAATGTAATGCAATGCAGCTTACAGCTTTCCCTCTGGGTCACTTCTTTGTCTTAATCAGACTGCAACAGGTAATTTTAACTGCTAATGGTGATATTAATCCTCAATTAGTTTGTTTCACGTTTCTTGTCAGATTTAGAGTTTATTTTGAACACAGCAAAGTGTTGTCTCATGCCACACTGCAGTTGTTTTTGTGCAGTTAGAGATCCTCAGGCCCTGTACTACCACAGTCTGGACTTAAGATTTAGGTGACTCCTTTTTATTATTAGGGCTGCTATACTTTTGTCTGCTGTGCTTGAGTAAATTCAGAGTATGCAGTGCTCCTCAGAGAACTGTCTATATGGCGAGTCCGTAGCAGCAGGTGCATATGCTCCAATTTGTTCAGAACGAGGGAATCTGCACTCTAGTTAATGTCCAAAGGGCTCAAAACAGGGCTAGGAAAAATCCATCTACAGCATTTATCAAACCTTGCTCCGCTTACTGCAATGTGAAAAGAGTGATTAAGTGCAGATACCAGCAGACAGGATTTCTGACATCTTAAAGGGCTACGATAAATAAAGGGGCGGGTAAACCCTGTAGCTCATCCCAACTACATATACTCCAGTCAGCATAGGTCTGCTAATTATATCTGTCAATCAGAAATAAAATAAAATATCTCCAATCAAACATGATCTATTACATATGTTTTGCGATAAAGAAACTCAATGAATGTATTAGATAGGGTTGTTAAACTGAAATCTTTATAGAATTAATTCTATTAACTGATCTCACTGGGTTTCAAATGAGAGAGGTTCAGGTTAAAGAAGAGAAATCTGACAAGAGGGATCTTTGGGAGGTGGGTTAATGGCTGCTGCTATAATCCTGCAGAGACCAAAGTGATCCCAAACAGTAAACGTATAGATACATTATACAGATCTTCAAGTTCTGCAAACAGTCTGGACTGAAGACTAAAGTAATAGTGATTCTTGACTGTCAGAGTTGCTGGACTGTGCCAGCCATTCAGCTGTTTAAATCCAGTATCTAAAACAGCTCTTATGATACATGTGTATACATTTGTTTTCCTAAAATATTTAACTATACATGTACAGGTACATTTTATTTAATTATTTTAACTATCATGTTTATTATTTAAAAAACAAAAGTCTCTCTCTCGTATGCTTTCTAAATAAAAGTATTGGGCTGTGGTGGACCCCACCTTGTTTTAAATTGGTAGCTTTGAATATTAAGATTATTTTTTTCAATTGAAAAATACAATATTTCTTATTTCATTTTTATTGATAGAAAATTAACCTGCAAATAACCAACAAAAGGATATCCAAAAACGTACAAGTAAAATATTAAACATAATAGGTTTATAATCATTAATAACTGTTATAAAACATTAATACATGTCATGGTAGGTAATCATTGACCTATCCATCCATAAAGCCTTTTCAGCACGGTTAAGTCTAAAATCCAACACAGCCTTAGCTCAGATTTGACATGAGGGCTCTGACTCAAGATTTCAAGTTGGCTCCAACTCATTTCAGAACATCACACAACCAGTGCAGTTGAGGAGCAGAAGAAAGTTCATGTCACTCGGCAGCAGAATTCTCCACTATATCTGGTGAGAAACTGTATTTGTGCAATGTGAACCAAAAATGAAGTTACATAAAGGCTAAAGCAGAGCCTTTTTAATAAAATAAAAGAATATTCACACTTCACTGGCCTGATTGCCTCAAGATAATTCTGGAAATAACTGTTCTCAAAGTAGCATTAATTGCATATTACAGCACTTTTAGAGCTTTTCGGATAGCTTCGGTAATAGATAGGCTATTGTATCTCTTGGTCTTATCACAACAAATCAAGGATATAGCTTGTGGTTCGAAGACCAATAGCAATAAAACTGATGATTGATAATCAGCTAAAACTAAGGTTCACTATTCAGCTGACTCATTGTTCCTATACTATGTAACAAAGATTCTGTAAGCAGTCAGGTCCTATTTTCTGTAAATCCAGTAGACAAAGTATAATTACATTAGTAATTGAAGGAAATCAACAAAAGATTATATTTCAAATCATTTTGATTATTCTTGATTATCTGTATAGTTGCTGTTGCACTTTGAAGATTGTAAAGGGATCACTTGAAATATTCAAGTCATAACTGTAACTGTAGTTCCTGTTCCAAAGATTTACTCATAATTCTTCCCCTTGCATGCAAAGATGAAGTTACTTGTCTCTACCTTTGTTCCAATCAAAGAAGAGAAAGTGATTTATGGTATTTTAAATAAACTTCAGACAACCCGACTGCACCCTGAGTTATGAAAATACAATACAAAGTAAGCAGACACATTTGTTAAAAATTGATAGATTTATAATCCTTGTTATGAATTAGGTGAGTTTTTCCTCTCAGGTTAGTGGGCTTCTAGGCTGAAGAGGAAAAGGCCAGTGTTTTTTTCCACTAAAAATAGATTTCAGATAAGGATGTCACATAGGTGACAGAGATAATGGTGCAATAATGATTGCATTCCTGACGAATGATGTGTGTCGGGGGAGGTGTGGGAGGCATGGTGGCCTGGCCTCTGAGTGTGAACTGGCCACAGGAGAAAAGACTGGTAATTCCTGCAGATCAAGACCTTCCTTACAGTCACAGCACTCAGTGGATACCAGTGTGTATCGCTTTCTGCTGATACATTAGCCCCTTTCTCTCTCTACACCATGCAGACACGCACATCATAAGCTCCTGTATGAGAATGTACTCCTACCAGAATTATTGTTAATTTTTTTGTATTGTCTCTTTTTCTTCAAGTATTGCTCTCATGCACCCTCTCGCTCTCTCTGTCTGTTGCCGCAGCGATGTTGGACAACTACTGCCAGAGTTTAGGAGCAGAGAAGAGCCTCTGCTCTGCCCTGTAACCAAGGCTATCACCTAAAGCAGTGACTCCTTTTCTATGTTCTATTACATCATTACACTGATGACCCTTTCTTAAGGCACATTTTATGGATATTCCATATTATATTTAAAAAGTAGTGAGCCTCAGTAACTGCAAGAAGTTTGTGTAAAACCAGTGCTTTAGATGCATTTTTTGCAGATTATTTCCTGTTTAGGAAACCTTTTATACAATCAATCATAAATACTTAATAGGCTCTTTTTTTTGGACCAATTAAGTGATTCAGTGTTTTCTTTTGTCCCTGGCGCTTGGCCATTATTCTATTAGGCAATTTACTTAATTTATTTTACATTTACTTTTCTTCACAGAAGTGAAGAAGTGAACCAAATGCAGAAATATAGTCCTACTGTGTATATTTTTTCAGTTCTCTTACATGGCCTTAAAACCCAGAAGGATAGTGGGGGTCCCAACCCCCAGGTTGGGAACCACTGGCCTGCAGTATCATGACAATTTGTAAAACTGATCTCACAAACATTATTTTAGTCAACACGCTCTACAGATTGCACTATGGGACCACAAAAAGCAAAGATTTGACGGACAATATTTTAAAGTGAAGAAATTCTATTTATTTCACATCATTGAATCAAATCTATATCAATGGGAAATCTCTACCACCAGCTGAGCAAGCAACAGGTCTGTCATCATGATATGCCACACACACACACACACACACACACACGCACGCACGCACACACACATGCATACACACAAACAGGTGCTCTAATGTTTCTAGATGAAGGCACATAAACCCATTGAAGGTCACAGTAAGGCAGATTCACAGCACTAAGAGGAAACCGTAGACCGTAAAAATTAGCAAAGGAACACTCAAGACTTTGACCAGTCTGCCGTATTACAGAATCTCTGTTTAGGACTGTCCTGTCTTCCTCTGTCTGGAAGGAAGAGAGCAGGTGAGAAAGGGTGAGGATGGCTGAGAACAGGAGGAAGAAGATGTTCACGTGCAGTGCTGACAGACATCCCACCCCTGTTTTCCATGTGACCTTTTCCTCTGCAGGCAGGTAGTGAGAGTTTATCCTTGTCATTAGAAAACTAGCAGCACTGAGAGAGTCCTTTCCAGTCTTAATCCTCATTTTCCTTAAAAGTTCTTTGGCATGATCGCATCAGCCAACCTGTAGACAGAACGCTTGCCAGACAGAACAACTGACAAGTCATAAATCAACATTATCTCATGCCTTTGCAGACATACTGTCAAAAGTAAACAGTTGTGTTTTTCACTCAGACATGTAATTGTGGTAACATTCAGTATACCATCACTCAAAGACAGCAGCAGTACAAACTCTGAGAGTTGTTTTTGCATCATTAAGAAACAGTAACTCCATAATGTAAATCACAGTTTGTTCAGTTTACTTTCACACAACGGAGGGCCAATCTGCACACACACGGCAGCAGCAACATTCCTTTGGATCACCAACAGACTGGGTTTGATTAGTCCACAAAGCACTAGTTTGACATAATACCCTGTATCCAACCATATACATTCTTGTGCAGAACAGCTCTGCTATGCAGAGGTGCAACCACTCTGTTTCACATTCTGAGTTCACATACGAAATCTTGTCCCTGAGACTTCAAACTACATCTGAATAATACCACTGTGCCCTAATTCCCCACCCTGTCCCACGAGCATCAACCTCTTACCATCTCTCATCATCTACAGACATTCAACTTGTAGGTATGGGTTAAAGGGAGCTTCAGCCATTTCCATGTAAATCGATGAGCTGAAATGCACCCCCCTGGCAGAAGGGCAAAGAATATGACACAGCATCTGCCTCACACTCACTCAAGAGACACACAACGACAGACATGTAGTCACATACAGTAGAGAGACTCTACACTGGCTCTGAACTAACAGCGCACACACATTGAACAACATATTCAGCTTCAGTCTCTTGGTTCGGTCCGTCACAGAGTGATGTCTTAATGGCGTGTCAGTGTCAGGTGCAATGGTTGTGCAGGGCTGTGGCTTCGGTGTGTTTGCATGTGTGTAAGTGTATTTGTGTCTGTGTGTATGCATATGTGTGTCTATAGGCAGTTCTGTGTCCCTGTGTTAAGTAAGGGCGTACTCAAACGTCCCTTTCTCCAGCCCCTCGATGCCATCAGCCCAGTTGGAGGAAGGCATGCTGCTGTAGGGGTCCAGCAGGATCCTGAAACACCTTACTATCAGCAGCCCCAGGAACACCAGTAGCATCCCCACAAAGGCAAATGCTGTCTTCTGCTCCAGAGTCAGAGAGTGCGCCATCATGTCGTTTCCGCTCATGGCAGCAAGGGAGTGGTTGAAGTGGACGCTACACATGGTAAACCAACATCTAGGTGCCTCATCTCCTCTCTGATAGGGTCAGGCGTTTAGAAGCCTGCATGTTACCTGGACAGAGATTACATGATGGCTTCAGATTAGTGCTGTCCTGTCTCTTGTGCAGAGGAGATCCATTTAATCAACCTATTTAAATATTATCACACTTAATGCATACACTGCGTAGGCTGCAAGAAATACAGGTGCAGATATGGGAAAGAGACAATACAGAAACAATCATAATGTTTTGAAATGCGCTGACCATGAAGCATGAAGGGTTACAGGTATCTATAAATAGCTTCTTTTGAATGAGGTATCAAACAGATGTCCGGAGACTTCGATCTCTCTCTCTCTCACTCTGCCCTTCTGGGAATTTTGCAGAAAATTACAAAAGGCAAACAGAAGAGTGAGGGAGACTGCAGGAAAAAGGGTTCAGGGATACGAGCCAATGCCATGGCCACATTCCTTTAAGATGGGTTTGAATTACAGTGTGCCGCAGTGTAAAGCCAGCTGTTAAAAATAAGCAAAGCGATAAGATGTCAATGAAAGTGCCACATCTCATGAAGATGTGACGTTATGTATGTTTGGTGTAGAGGAGAGGGCTCTCTACCTGTTGCGTGTGAGCAGATGTAATTCCACTGGACAAGAAAGCGACGGTGATTGACCAAACATAATCACAAAATTGGTGTGACCACACAAATGCAAGTCTGCTTCTATCATTCTTTTCTTCCCAAATCTTTCATATGAACACAAGCAGCAGGTGGCTTGAGCGAAAGCAAGGGAGGGGGGTTAGATGAGAGAGGGAGGGTACATGCAGACAGGGACAGGGGAATGTACAGAGAGAATTGTGAAAGACAGACGAGGGAGAAGGAAGTGGAATGATGAGGAGGACACTGCACAAGTATGCATTGTGTGAGAGACAGAGAGGAGAGAGGGAGGGAGTGAGGTAGGGTGAAAGAGAAAGACTGCATTGACAGATTCTCTAGTGAGGATGTCTATGGGAGAAAAAGCAAGCGTCTCACCGTCATTATCGTTCCATCCTTACAGACCTGTTGCTGCTGTTTCTTGTGAACAACTCCTCTTTCTTGGAGCCCGCTTACACATATCCGTTAATCCACCCATTGCTGACATACTGGATGTGCTGCGCTAACCTCCCATCTAAACAAAAAGCGAGAGATAAAGAGAGAGAGAAACAGAGAAGCGAAGGGAGAGGCTGGATCAAGCTATGATATGTGTCTCTTCTCAGAGATACAGCTCCTCTCCTCATGCTCCCTTACTTGCTGCCTCCTACTCATTATCATTCTGTTTCTCTATCTCTCCCTCCAGAAGCACGCACGCTTGCTCCTGCTGCATGGCAACCACTTGTTAGTCTCACTCAGCTGCTCTGCTGCCTCAGTCATTCACAACATTCTCCCCCCCTTCAGCAACACCAGGACGGATGCAGCAGCATAAACAAGTAATCCCCGTCTTCTTTTTCTTCTCTCTTCATTCTTTCCCCTCCCTGGCTTATTTGGCTTTTCTAAAAATGACTCCACCAAGATGTGACAGGAATATCGTGGTTTAGCCGGGAGGAGAAATGCTGCCTCTCACTGCTCCTGGCCAGTAAATGCTGCTGCAAAGGTATTTTTGGTACAGCACAGCATTATCCACCAAGCCTGCTTTGATGATGTGTTTTTAATTGGTGCAGTTTGCTGTGGTCAAATTGAATTAGCCCCTCTGCTTAAAGGCTTACGAATGCAGGCTCCCTGGCCATGGTGAAGGAGAAGAGACTGGCATTTAAATAGATTTTACTGTAGTGAATAAAGCCGTATTGTATAAGAAAAACATGCAGCAGGTCATCTGATTGCCCAGTGTAACAGAATGCAGCAGTGAAGCGTCTGGCCATCTGTTTCGTTGTTATGCAGTGCAAATTCATATCAGCAATGTAGTTTCTGTCACAGTGGTGCAGTGACTCGGATCTAAGGATAAGGCATGCCACAGGGGAGATGGTCATCACTAGTTTGTGATGTAATAATTCACATCTTAAAAGTGGCAAAAAGAGCTCCATTTTTCTTTTTCAGTTGTAAACAGCAGCCAAATTCCCTGACAGAAACTAAACACAGGGGTGAATTACCTCCCTCACATTTACTTTTACTTCAAAGTTTTATGCCTCTGCAGTGTCTTTTGAACTGCCCTTTTTCTTGGGTCAGTAAGCAATTTCTAGTCCTGCTGTGCTGTTAACACCTGGCTGTATTCGGGTAGAAATTGGTAGTGTGGCACCACTGTGATTTGTCGACAGAGTCAGCTGCTAATGTTTTAGTTCACATTTATTTCAAGGACAGTTCTTGCAAATTAGCTGAGGAGATGTCACACTGTACAGACAATGAACTCATTAGACTTTGCCTCATTGCCCTCATGTCAATTTAAAAAACAAAATGAAAACTATTTGATGTGCGGTCATCAGTGATGAGGTCAAGTTACAAACAGTGTGAATTGTCATCATTATTAATCCATTATGGTGAATTTCCTGTAAGAGATGATTTCATAAGACCATTTACGTGAAAATTAGCTGAAGTTCAGTGACTTACATTTGGACAATTGCCTCTGAGTTTCCTTTATCATATAACAGTCAGAACTTACTTACTTGTGTGTCAGGGTGTACTGATGTGCTATTGACTCTATTGGTTCTGGAAGAGGAACTGCTGAGACAATCTAAACCTGTTGCATAAAGCATATTATAATATTACCCAGTGTCCATAGGACATTCGGATAAAGATTGTTAAACATTTATCTCAGCCACACAACAGGTCAGGAGCAGAACTGATATTGAGAACTATAAAACGATGATTCTACAAACTGCTCTCACGGTATCATCTTTAATGTTAATGAACTGTACGCCTCTGTCTGTTTATCTCGTATGATAATACAATCTTTACAAGAAAGTACAAAGACAGATGCAGTGAAATTGCAAAGATTTTAAATACTTTATTAGGCCTCCCCATTAGCCTGAGTGTAGCAATTGTGGCCCTTTGTTGGTTAGATATTGAAAAAGGATGGTCTGACTTTTTTTAGAATAAATATAATGAATCTACAATATTGCTAACATACTGCCAGGTGATTGTGCACATCATAGTACACAAGAAAAGAGAAATACTGGTTTCTAGCATTTCAACATGAACTTAATGATATGTGCCAACCTAGGTTGACTGACCGTTATTTGTTAGTGGATACAAGTTATGAAGTTATATTTATTGGTATGAATTGTGCAACACTCACCTGCGGGGTGTATAATATAAAAGCAACTAGCCATCAAGGAAATGTATAATCAGTTTATTGACCTAGTATTTTATTCACAGAGTAATAAGTGCACTGTACTGTATGGTAAAAGTTAACCTTATCCACGGTTGTAATTGTTATAATCTGTCCTTCATTGCACCTGATATCAGTGGTATCTCTTCTTGAATGAAACTCAAATGTATTAGAAATGTATTTATTTTCAGGAGTGAGGTTACAGCAGTTCTTAATAATAATAATGACTATATATTATTATATATATATTATTATTATTACTATTCTCTGCACCTTGAGCAGGGTTACCAAACAAAATTAAATAAAGTATTTCTGATTCTGATTGTTGCGTTTGTGACTGTAGCATGCAGAAACCTTAGCAGCCAAAACAAAATATAAATATAGGAATCACACACTTTCACATAACAAAGCAAACATCTGGGTCAGAGAAGCTCACCAATAGATGTACTGAAGGTTCTGACGCACATAAAATCCCTATTTGAACACAGATGTTGTGTGAATTGGTTGTACTGTACTTTAAATGTGACAGTATCCCCAAAAGTGGCTTTATAATGGCTGTCAGTGATTTAATCTGAACAGATGAAAAGATTCAAATTAAAATTGTGAAACAGTTTGATTCTTGATGTGAAGTCAAAGAGGTGAGACATTCTTTGCCCCCTATTATCATCAGTAACCCTTGAGCCTGACACTTAAATAACTACCCATTTGCTTATTTCCTAACAAGACTTGCTTTGAATACTTACGCAGCATAAAACTGTAGTTTGAACACCAAGTTACTGTCCTTATATCTAAAAAAAAACTTTTTTTAACAGGAGTACAATCAACTTTATGTTATATTAAAAGGTCAGATTTAAAATTACTAAGTGTTTTTTGGTTGTGGCACACCGCTAAAGCATATTGTATAAAGAAAATGAAATTATTCTTCCAGGAGACTAAAAGTGCATCAATCAATAGCTCCAGGAATGATGAATTGGCTTGGCTCATTCTGCACTATATCATTAGCATAACGACATTTGCTTAGTATTCAGGGACTCACTGTTTCTTAGTAGATACTTCAAATGTTCAGGCTCTGTCTTGTGCATGGATCAAACTTCTTATGGTGGGCTGCACTCTTTGGTTTTCAGGGGGTCTGGGTGCTGCTCAGAAACACACACACACACACATGCAACCATCAGAGGTGTCACTCACTCTCTTGCTGACCCATTCACTGTATGTGCACAATCTTTTCAAATACCTCCATTTTATTTCTGTTTTTTAATGCCTCCAACTCCTTTGACCTCCAGTAGCAACCTATTCTCTTATACTCTACTCTATTCACCCAGGCTGCCTAGCGACACCTCCCAAATCTCGCGTTGGAGACACAAATCTCCACTGCACATTTTGAACTGCGTAGCGACAGGGGTATCTTGCGTTGTGTGGGGCACAAAAAAAAAAAAAAAAAAAAAAAAAAAAGAGAAGGAAAACCCTCAACATGGCAGATGTTGCAACCTTAGACGAGGAACCAAAGCAAGAGGAATCTACTACATCAATCAAGTCCGACACCGAGGAGACCTCCGAAGAAACACCCAATGGCGTGAAAACGTGAGTGTTGTGTTAATATTAGTGTTGTGTTAATATTAGTGTTGTGTTAATATTAGTGTTGTGTTGTTGTGTCCCGTCTGTGCAGTCGCTTAGCTAAAATGGAGTCCTGTGATGCTAGCTATTGTTAGCCGAGAAGCCTCTGTTGTCGAAAACATTGGAGCCGTATTAAGTTAAATGTGTCTTGTTACTGAGCTAACGTGAAGACAAAATGATGCTACATATTTTTTATCTGAAGTGTCGATAAATGGTGTGTGTTTTTGCCATCACGTTAGCTCATCATTGTGAAGTAATGGGTTAGCTGGGTGCTAATCAGGGTTGTGTTTTGCTAACGGAGTCATTAAACTCGGCGCTTGTTGAAGTTTAACTTGCTCTAACTCTTTAACTCACCTGGGTGGATAAATAAAATAGGCTATATCTGATTTTAAACAGACATTACCAGCCAGCGTTTGCATGTAGTTGTACCTGTCACATTGTGTACAAGCTAAAAATAACGTGAAGTTAACGCTAGCTGCAAATGGCCCCGCTATGCTGCAGTGTTAATTTAACTAGTTTTAAATAAGTTAACTAATAAATCACGCTAGTTAAACGTTATGTTAGTATTTTCTTTACTACTGACACCTCACCAGATGACAGTTTCTACAGCAGGGTAGTTCATGTTTCAATGAACATACTCAGCTACTAACTTGACACTTGTAAGACGACCTGTTTGCAGAAATAATAATAATAATAATAATATACCTTTACAGGAATGCAAAGTTGTCCTATATACAAAGTCTAAAGTGTTTTTATTATGCTACATTATAACCTCTTTGATTATTTCTTTCCTCAAGGTAAGTAGTGTCATTATTAATGTAACATTACGTAGCTGTCTTTATGAAAGAAAGTGTTTATTAAATGTAAAGAAACTCACATTAGCACTGAAATGCAAAGCAACCTGCTATTACTCACAAACATATTGACAGGTCTTTAAATACGCAGACTGTGGTTTGTGTGTGATGTCCGAATGTTGTTTAGAGAGAGGACGGTTTCTGACTTGCAGCTTTGTGCATTTTGTAGGGATGCTGAAGAAACTAAGCCCCCCAAAGAAAAGCATGATGCTAAAGAGAAGTCCTCCGGGAGCAGAAGAGGGAACCGATTCCATCCGTACAAAGACAAACATGGTGGAGAAAAGAAGGGTGCACATAGGAACCGGGTGTTCATCAGCAATATCCCCTATGATATGAAGTGGCAGGCAATTAAAGATCTAATGCGTGAGAAAGGTAATGTCCCCAGTGATGGGGATGGTGTCTCCTCTTCTTCTATAGCTCTTCAGCTGATTAGAAGTTCTTTACCCTTTTTTCCTTCGTTACCAGATGGAGAATCCTCTAGCAGTAGTCAGTTAGTTTGTAGCTTTTCTCTGGATGTTACTTAGTGCAGATAGTAGGAAACCAACATAGTGTGATATTAGGTTATTGGAGTTTTCAATAAAATTTTTTGGATGGACACCAATTTAGTTTGGGCTGATATGTCTGTGAGAAAAGGAAGATGAACTTAGTTATATTGTCACTTGTTTTATGGCATTGTCAGCTCCAAAATGTAACCTCAGACCAGTAGTAGAATTGATTGTTGAATGATTTTGTTGCATCTGTTGCAAGGTGAATCTTGATTATATGAATGAAAATATTGTAATGTTTTACTTTCTGAATTATGGGGGTCTTAAGAAGCCTTTTGAAAGGTCAAAGGACAGCTTAAAACTTTCAACTGTTATGAATGGATTCTGTTGACAAACTGATCATGCTGAAGTCTTTTGAATTTCCCAGGTTTAATGTAGCTGTGTTTCTCTCTGGCCTTGGCCTTTGGGTGTCTCAGTCACTGCCCAGAAAGGCATGGTGTTGGTCTGGTGGGATGTTGGTCTGGGCTGACTGTTGATCATTAATGGGACATTTCCATCTGTAGCGGCATTGCCAAGGCCAACGGCGACTTGAAGACTTGGTGACTTAAATTCCTTTGTTCTTTTGGTATTTTTCCTTTGTATGTCTCATGTAGTTGGTGAGGTTACATACGTGGAGCTCTTTAAGGATGCAGAAGGAAAGTCAAGGGTAAGTGATGTGGCCAACTTGCTGCACGAGGTTTTAAATGCCCCCAGCAGGCTTTCATTAATCAAGTGCTCTTTTAGGTTCTGATCCTTTGGGTCTTACTAAGTCACTGAACTGGAGATACTGTAGGTTGTGTTTAGAGCCTGATAGATGGCTAATGATTGATATTCATTTGAAAGGGAGATGTCCTGTTGATTTTTTGGAAAAGTAGCCTAATGAACTCCTAAGAGTACACTTTTGCTTTTGTTGTTGTTATTTCAATTGGTGTAAAAGTTTGTTTGTTTGGCCATTTTCCAAAGGGAAATGTGGGTTGTGTGATTTGTCTCATTGATTGACCCTCATGTCTCAAAATCTTATTTTACAATTCTGTTATATGACACAGCTCTCTCTTCAAAGGAACAAAACAGTCTTGAAAGATCCTGTAATGTTTTTTTATTGTTGTTTTTTATGCTAAATGGCAAAAATGCATATTATAGATGCAAACGAGGACCACACTATTTTTTCTTTACTGCAGTGGTAAAGAAGGTTAATCCTAACTAATGTACTAAATAAATTTGTTAATGCTTTTTTTTTTTTTAATTTCCACCTTGGTATTTGTGTCCAGTTCTAAAAAGAATAAACTGTTTGAGTTATATTACAATGCATAGGTATCTGTTAGTGCTAAATGTTTTAACTAAAACCTTTTTAGTATTTTTTTTTTCTTGATGTTTGTTTTTAATGGTATAGTCAACTTTGTGTCAGATAATGATAAATAATATGCTCTTATTAAACTTTTAGTCTTGTTTGCAAATTACAGTAGACTTAAACACAACCTCAGAAATATGCTGGCTCAAGCCAGTGAGCAAAATATGGCCAACATGCACTGTAGAAAATACTAGAAGCATGTTGATAAATTAGATTTATAATGTTGTAGGGCTTTGTTTTGATTTTAACTGAATTTTGTTTACTCCTTCAACTTTGGATATGTGTGCTAACTGGACTCCTATGATGCCCCCTGGTTAGGGTTGTGGGTAAGAATCTACCTTACTTTCTCAAACATAGAGCATATTTTTTTTATTCTTGTACTTGCGTGGACTCATTTGATGTCCCTGTTTCAACAGTGTGGTGGAGTTCAAAGATGAGGAGTTTGTGAAGAAGGCGATAGAAACTATGAATAAGCATGACCTGAGTGGAAGGCCACTTAACATCAAGGAGGTGAGAACAAATTATGTTTACAGCAAAACTGAAAAATGTTATTATGTTGCTATCTTCTAAAACATAACATAACTTTCTCCCCTTATTTATTTCACTATTCATTTGTATGTGAGTGGCATCATAAAGTAAAACTGAAATACCTCTGAGTGACAGATGATTGTTCATCTACTGTAGAGCTTCTCTTTAACGTTGAGCTGATGTATTATTTTATTTTTGTCTTACATCGCTATAGTGATTTCTTTAGTGGAACTGAAAATATAATGCACACAAGTATCCCCAGATAACATAATGAGTGTGGGATTGCCTTGTACAATTGTCTGTTATTTGTTGTACAACCTTCACTTGACTGATTCTTCATGATTCATCAGAAGTAAATTGTAATGTGTTTCCTATTTAAGGACCCTGATGGTGAGCATGCTCGGCGCGTGCTACAGCGCATGGGAGGAGGTCAACAGGGAGGTCGTGGGCAGGACATGGGGCCTGGTGGTATGAACATCCCACCCTCCATTGCTAACAACCCCAACATCCCACCTGACGTCATCCATGCACTGCAGGCCGGACGACTGGGCCACACAGTGTTTGTGGCCAATGTGAGGACATAGTAATAAACTATTTCTTATTACAAGTAGTGATGATTATGCATGCTGATTAAGAAAAGAGTGGTGTCTTTCTCTTCAACAGCTGGATTTCAAGGTGGGCTGGAAGAAGTTAAAGGAGGTGTTTGGCATGGCAGGTGTGGTGAAACGGGCAGATGTTAAGGAAGATAAAGACGGAAAGAGCCGTGGGATGGGAACAGTGACTTTTGAGCAGCCACTGGAGGCTGTGCAGGCCATATGTATCCTTCACAAGTAAACGCTAAAATAAATGTAAAAAAAACAGAGAAAAAACACACAAAGAAATGCTTCAAAATCTTACTGTGATCCTCTCCTTGACTCTGGGTTCAGCCATGTTCAATGGACAGATGCTCTTTGACAGACAGATGCATGTTAAAATGGTATGTTATTTTTAGTTATAATATGACATTAAATATATATACATTGTACAGCTGATGTGAACATTTTTACATTTGTTGTGTGGTTTTATAGGATGAGAAATCTCTTCCCCCTGATGATTTCCGTCAAGTAGAAAAAACTCCTCAGTTACCACGTGAGTACACTGTTAGCCCCTCGTCAGTAGTTCATCTCAAACTCATATCCATAGTAATGAGCTCAGTGGATTGTGTATAGCACTAACATTGTCAGTGTTAGAGGTTTAATACCTTCTGGGAACAAATGGCTAATGTTAATAAAACTGATCCAGATATGCTGCTGAAGCTGTATGGTAATGAAAGGGACACACAAAGTGGCTTGCAAGTTTTGTCCTACCTGTAGGATAGATGTTGGCCTGTTAATGTCATCTAAATGCTGCTTCACCTTTAAGACAAGATAAAATAAATTGTGGTCGACACTGCAATTACATATTAAAATTAATTAGATAAAACTTATATGGCAAGGAATTCTTAAGCATTAATTTAAATAGACAGGTTTTTTTTATTGTATAAAATGGTGTATTACACACACTGTAATTGAACGAGTCTTTGAGTCTTTACAGATGGAAAATCTGTATTTTGTATTGTTAATCTTTTGCTGGTCCAATCCCAAAACATTTATCTGTTTTTAGTCTGGTTACAAACAGTATTTTTACAGAAAAACACAGCTTGTTTTTTTATATTATTAATTAGTAGTAGTAGCTGCTCTCTAGTGAAAGTCCTTGTCAGTCAGTTTGATTTGTAGCAAGAGCCTGTTTAATAATGGAATGGACAAAGGTCTGATGTCTGCACTGAAAAGGAAGACCTGCTGCATTAAAATTGAATATATTCCACAAATCGAACAATATGACACATAGGTGAATAAATAACATCTATTCTACCCAACGGCAATGTCTGTGTGCCTTTGATCTTAAGTATGCTCTGAGCAGTACATCTTCCATTCCTGAGAGTTGGTGCATTGCAGATGCAGTAAAGGATCATGTAAAGATGTCTCTTGGCATATTTATTTTATACTAAATGAGTGTATGAATGTGTTTTACATTAAATCTCTGTTATGATAAATGTTAGTAGCATCATTGATTATCAGTTTAGCTTTGTATAAATTCTTGTATGGTATATAATCAACAATTTTCTTTTCTTGTATTTTCTGTGTAGGGGGTCTAGGTGGTATTGGCATGGGACTGGGGCCGGGAGGGCAGCCTATAAATGCCAACCGTCTGAGTGGTGGGGGAGGCATGGGCTCCATGGGGCCTGGAGGTTAGTCACCTCTCAGATTTATTTTACCAGTATTTTTAGTTATGTTTGGCCAGAAAGTGCTACATGCAGTACATAATATACTGTGTTCCAACTTACATCCAGTCCGTCTTTAATCTGCGAATACTTATCAACACATTACTAACACAAGGGAGCATTGATCAGCAAATCAAAACACCATTCTGTAATAATTAATATGCTGGTAAACCTTACATACACAGTTAATGTGTAAACCATTTAACCATCAAGACTTGGCTTGACATTTTCCCGGCTCATCTTTTGACCCTGCAGTGGTCTCAATGTGGATTAAAGAGATAAGACAAGCAGAGCTCCTACTAGCTAAAATACGGGATGTTTACTAGACTACGTGTTAGAATGTGACTTACATTGCGCCTAAAAGCATTTTTGTTCAGTGTTTGAAAATCAAATTAAACACATCTCCTTGCCATGTATGTATCTATACCCATTGGAAGTAAATAAATAAATACAGTGTGTACTTGTGTGGTCTGACTGACTTTTTCTGCCATAGGTATGGATATTCCAGGTTGTGGTGGAATGAACAGACTTGGAGGAGGTAAGGTTTTTGCTACCTACGAGTTTTCCCTGTTAAATGTCAACTTTTTGTCAGAAGAAAGTGAGAGCGATGTTCAAATTTGGTGCCGCTTTTGACAGGAATGAGTGGTGGCGGAGGCTTCGGGGGCATGGATAACATGGGCAACATGGGTGGCTTTGGAGGGAGAGACATGGCGCCAGTTGGCAGGATGGGAGGTTAGTGGGCAGATTCACTACTACTGGGGTGAGGTGAGGTTCAAGGATCAAGGAATCGAGGAAATGTATTTATCATAAAACACAAGGTTGTATAATTAAATGAACATTTGTGGTCCCTAGATAATAGAATAGCATCAAGTAAAATAAAACAACATATACAGTTATTTATATACATGCATCTTTTGAATTTGCGCCCGGGTGAATGTAAACAGCAGAAAGAAGATAGTGATGATTCTATGGTTTCATCTTCACATAAAAAGAAACTGTGTCCATCCACTTTAACTGTGTTTGAGCACCATGCATCATTGATGTAGTCCGCCTCCTCTCATCCTGCGCTCTGTTGGCTCGGAACATGGTCTGCCCGTTGAGTGCTTCATCCAGGATGTTGATGGAGCAGGCCTCTGTAAAGATGTGGACATTGGTCTCTGATTTCGGCCGGTCCCGTATTGTTGTCATACCTCACTGTGATAGCTAATAAGGATTAAAACAAAAACAGTGGAGTTTGAAAGGTTTAGCCATTCATTATCAAACCCAATCATACATTATTCAATGATGTTTCAAAGCCAAAAAAAAACAGTACAGATTAAAACACATCTACCAGGATCTACCAGCTGCTGCAACTTCATGCACAGCTGTTGCCATGGTGACAATGTTACGAACTGTTGTACTGTAAATCTTGAGATGTACCTGTGCTATTGCTAACTTAAGTCTAAGGGTACATTTTCTTTCTCCCTGAGATATGTACCGGTCAGGAATGGGTGGGATGGATCGGGACTTTGGCCACAGTGACATGCCAATGAATCGAGGATTTGGGGATTCTTTTGGAGGAATGGGTAAGTGATACTTTGACTTAAGGCGACTCCTGGTTTGAGTTTGGTTTTGAGTTAAGATGGTGTTTAGGGATTGCTTTTTGTCTTGTGTGCGATTCTGTTTATAGGTGGACTCTTTCTGTGTTTATTTTTGTTAAATTGTTGTTTTATGTTCTGGTCTAATCTAATCTGCATTAACTTGCATTTTCTCCCTTAGGTGGAGGTTTTGGAGGAGGCATGGGCAGTGGTGGCATGGGGCACATGGGGACTGCATTAGGTACATTAATTATTTTTCTAAATCTGTCACATACCAGTTCTTCCCCTATAGATACACATTGACTTTGGAAGTACTTTTAAGCTACAGTTAGCTCTCTAGAAGAGCCACAGGCCTGTTGACTTTTGAGAGTTGTTAGCCCTTACCATTTTATAGTCTTTTGAAAGTTTATACAGCCAGTTGTCTAAAAGTAGGAATGAGTATTAGTGTACCATGATGTAAAAAAGTCATTAAGTATAATGCCTGGCTGAATAGGCGATGGGTAATAAGGGGTCCTAGTAGAGACTGTCCTTTAATCAGATGACCTCAAAATTAAAATGTCCCTTAGTGCTGTTGTATGATACATACTGAAGTAGAGTCAATAGTGATTTACATTTACAACACTGGGGCATACGTGAATAATGTTGTGCCACAGTTGCAGTTTAAGGACTATTTGAAATGACTTGTTTATTATGAAATAAGCTGCTGTAGAGCTATACAGAAGAAGAAACATTTATATTCAATGTGGTTACAGCAGAAATACCAGTAAAGTGGTCTGCATTGATCTATGAATTAATGATTCTTACAGTATCTGCTGCTTCAGTTTTCACCCTGCTGCGCACACATAAACCAAAATAGCAGGTGTGCTTGGAGAACCCCACACAGTCTGTGCACCCAATACCTAATGCTTTGCACTTGATGTTGCGTGATTAAAATATGGCCCATGGAGTGGTACAGAAAAAAACGACTCCCTTCCTTGTGGAGTGCTTATAATATGAACTGGTTCAAAGTCTGCTTTTTCTGTTTCAACAATGTCACAGTGACATTGGACTCTCAACAGCTCATGTTATGAAGTGTTGGAACACTAATATAGGTTTGTAATGTTTATACACAATTCAGTGACGCTCTATATACTGCCCAGTTTAAAATATGCACTAAGTTGTGCTCTCATTTTGTGTGTGTGTGTGTGTGTGTGTGTGTGTGTTACAGGTAGTGGAATTGGCAACATGTCGATGGACCGTATGGGCTCTGGCTTTGACCGTATGGGCATGTCAGGAATGGACATGAACCGTGGCTTTGGTGGCTATGGAGGTGGCGGACCAGGCCACATGGGTGGAGGCATGTCTGACAGAGGCTCTGGGTCCAAAGCAGGCTGTCAGATCTTTGTACGAAATGTGAGTGTGGGCGAGATATGTGACAACATTACTAGTATAGAGATTTAGTCTATTAAATAAGATTGGAGTCACAGAGGCATCTCCACGACTTCCCCACTAATTTAATGACAATTTTATTCATAAATACATTTGCATTGATGTCCTAGTATTGATTGAGGCTTTAATAGGATGCAACCCATGCTTGTCGTGCATTAATATAAATGGTAATGATTCTGTAAATGAGTAGTTCATGATTGGTGTATATGAATTAACTGGTGCTCTACTTCACACTAGGGTTCGCACATTTTCCCTGCGAGACTAATTTTATGATGCCACATGCTTTGTTGATGTACTCATCTTTTACCGGTTTAGTCAAGCCTCAAATATGTTGGTATTGACTGAATTTCTGATTTCTGTGTTATAGCTGTCCTATGATCTGACATGGCAAAAGCTGAAAGAGAAGTTCAGTCACTGTGGTATGTCTTTTGCTTAGTTTGAATTAGATCTTTATTGTTTAATTTACAAACCACTCAAATACTTACATTAACAGTTTGTGAAACATTGAGGTTTCAGAATAACTTAATTGCTCATTCTTTACTCCTGCAGGCCAGGTAATGTTCGCAGAGATCAAGATGGAGAATGGAAAGTCAAAGGGATGTGGAACAGTGAGATTTGACTCTCCAGAGAGTGCTGAGAAGGCCTGCAGGATGATGAATGGAACCAAGATCAACGGCCGAGAGGTGGATGTCCGCATCGATCGCAACGCCTAGAGCTTTTGTAGAAGTCATGCTAACACACTTCCACATTCAGCCCTCTTGTCAGTGATCTTTTGTTTTGTTTTAAAAACACAATTACTTCATATCTCCCATGTGTCCACTGTTTAATTTTTTTGTTTATATATACTACATAGCTCTTATCTTTTGTTTTGTAAACCCTTTTTAATTTGTCAGGCAGTTTATTTGAACAAATAAACTTTTTAATTTTTAAACCTGGTGGTTGTAAAATCTCCTGGGATCAAAGTCTGGAAGTTGTTCTTCACAACATGTAAAATGAACCTGAGATGTTGATCTATTAGGCATTATTTCTCAACACTGCCATACAGTGGCCTCCTCAAAGAGGGGGAAATTCCACATTAATCGCAAAGACAGTAAATGGATTTATCAGGTGTGGTGTCACAACACTAATGGAGCTATTGAAAGTCCCAGATATCCAAGATTGGTGGTGGTTTTGTTTCAGTAGGATAGGATAGTCACTTCTGAATATATTCTTAAAAATCTAGGTATAGATCAGCTGAAGTCTGTGCGAGTCTTGCAGTTGGCTGTAAGCACAACTGATAAACTGATGGAATACAGTTTTTACTTTTCAGGTAATGGAAGACAAGTGGAAAGTTTTGTGTGTTTTTTACTGTTTGTGGCTCTTTCCACCTTCCTCTTTGTAGGCAATAAGGATTGCTCGTAAAAGCTTATCAGAGTTGCGTAGATGGTGCCTCTGTTTTAACTCAACCACCAACTTAAAAGAAGGACAAGGCCGAATAAGTGTCGTTCACACCTTTATTACTTGACTGACTTGTCGGTTCTGGATTTATTTGAACTCAGTAGTCACTCCTGGGACAGCACATATTCTATTTATGCGTCTTGAGTAAGACGTCTCAACTTGATAATGAGTCTTCATTATATGACTGGTCTGGATCTGACTGGAACACTTTTAAGAGAATGATCTTTGGCACATTTCCACCTTTTGTAAAATGTAACTAAAAGGAGATCATCCTCTTCATGAGATGTAACCAGCACACATCTTCCATGGCACAATATCTGTAGAAGTATGTGAGAGGGGCCATGCCTCCTTGTTTCGATATTTGAAGATTTATAGGCTTAACAATTTTGTTGTGTTTTTGGACTGTTTTTGGAGTCTTAGAGGATATGGCTTCAGTCCTGGGGAGGTCAGATCTCAGTCACTGCACAGTCTTATAGGATTATTCCCAATAATCCCCAGCTCATACAGGATGGATAGAGTTGCAAAGAGGATGTAGCAGATGAGAGAAACAATTCCCAATTTCCAGTCCAACTTCCATCCGTTGATATGAACGGCTACAAAAAGGAAAACAATGGAAAGCAGGAGAGTGCAGGAAATGAAGACCAGTCCAGTGCTGTTGACCTCTACAGGGTTGTTGGTGTCCACAAAGGCAGTCTTGATGAACCAAGGCAGACCCAGGCACAGCATGTCAAAAACATTAGAGCCCACAATGTTGGACATGGCCATGTCAGCTTTCCCTGATGAGCAGAAAACATGTTTACATATTAGATTTAAGGCCATTCACACAGAATTTCAGTACTGAAGTTCTTTTAATTTCTAAAATGGCTGGTGGGAAAATGAGGCTTGACTGTTGACTGATGCCTACCTTCTCTGGCCACCATCACACTGGCCACAGTGTCAGGTATACTGGTTCCAGCAGCAAGTAAAGTGAGTCCCATAACTGTATCAGGGATGCCAAGTGTCTCACCTGTGTACACAATAAATAGCAAACCAAAAATCAGAGTCCACCTTCTCCAATAACAACAGCTGGTCTAAAATGTGGTTAGAACATTAAGAATAAATTATCAAGTCATCACGCCACTAATTTAAACTTGTAAAAAATAACGACACATTTTTATGTTTTATTAATTATTTAACTTCATTATGCACTGTAAATGTTCTGTGTATGTGCTAATGCAAGGTATTCATTTTAATTTAGCCTAAAACCCTTCAAATTTAATCTAAAAATATTAGAATGAGCCTTAAAAACCCAACAGGTATAATATGAGTGCAACCCTTGTAAACTGCTTTTTATATCTCTATTCATCTCCTAAATGTTCAGAGATATTATATAAGTACATGACCTTGTGTCCTCAATGGTAGCTGTGAGTCTGATTCAAGACCATTATGGGAAATATTATTTTCAGTTAATCTTCAGTGATACCCAAATATGAACCACATTTTGAACCAACACTGGTAATAAATCATTACCATCCTGCCTGTGCACTAGAACCTTTCACGAGTTCTCTGAATTGTGCGCTATGACGTTGCTAACAGAGCAGAGCCAAAGGGAAACACTCTCAATCGCATACTGTATGTTTGTACCTGCTCGGTCCCATGTCCGCTCTTTCATAAGACTAAACTCTCCTTCCATGTGAGCCTATCTGACGACTATGGGATAATAATCTCATTATACTTCAGTAGACCTACCACCGTCACATGATGGAGCTGCCCTTTTAGTCTGATCCTAGGTCAGTTTTGTAGTTTACATCTCTGTTGTAGATGGAATGGGATAAAGCTGTTCTTGGACCCGTGCCTGTGGGTGGTTCTGTATATTCACGCAGGGCTCACATGACTGTTTCCTTAAGGGTGAAGCAGGCTGTAATCCTGCTGTGGCTGGGTAGGCACATGGCCCACTGGAGCTACAATATCCCCCCTCTTAACTTTCCAGGACAATGGCATCTCAGGAATTAGCCAGCAGACCAACATGTGATTCTACTCTGCAAATGAGACATTTTTTTCTCACAAGTTTCAAACACTTGGTGAGTGATGGGCTCATTTCCCCCCGCAACTCACCTGAAAAGACTTAAGGAAATGTTACACAAGCCCCTGCTAAAAATACAAAAAAAACCAAAACAATGATCTTACCGACGATAGTGACCATCCACACCAGGATGTATGTGAAACCTGAGATCCAGACAGCTGACATGAAGAAGGTCACCATGAACCATTTCTTCCAGAACCTTCTCCTGCAGTCAGGGATGGTCAGGAAAAGCAGAGTGATGATGGGCAGAGACAGAACCCAGAGGATCCGTTTCAAGTCGTTCTCCGGCACGGCAAACACACTTTTTTCCTCTGCTGAACAAAATAAATAGATTTGTATCACATCATCGGGGGTCATATAGGTGGACACATCATCTTAAAAATACTGGAAAACAGTCCACTATTTTTACCCTCAGGAATCTCATTGAGGCCATGCAGGCTGAGGGACAGGTGAGAGTATCCTGAGTCATCCTGGAAGATCCCACTGTCTGTCCTGGAGCGACTGTGGACTCGCAGACTGGTGTTGTCGTTCCAGCCCAGCAGAGTCTGTGTCTCTGTCTTCTCACCGGATCCTTTACCCAGACATGTGCAGCAAGGGCTGAACTTCCTCAGGACAAACTCACTGATGCGGAGGTCGAAGCACAGAACCACGATGTAGACGGCATAGACCAGCAGCAGACAGGCAGCGTCGTACCTGGGAACAAAACATACAGTTTGGGCATTAAGGTTTATTCTTGACCTTGGGGACAGATATAAGTGCTAAGTAGTCTCAATGCGAGTTCCATTTACTAAGCTGTTCCTTGAGCTTTCCACCGAAAATCCATGGCATGCTTCAGAGAATGGAACTTGGGTGTTAGGTGTCGTCAAGTAATATAAGCACAGGACCTTGGTCTTGTGATAACATCTGAGCCAGCTGCTGAAGAAGGCTGTGGAATATGGTCAAAAGCTCTGGCAATATCTAATCAAATGGCCTTTGGATTCGTAAGATTTACCTCAGACAACATACCTTTAAATATAGTTTAAATGACCAAAATCAATGGATTAAAGAGAATATTGTGGATGTTGTTTTAAAAATCTTAAATATGTGTTTTGTTCTTGTTCCCTGCTTTGGTGTTGGCTTGTTTCTGTTATTAGGTCTCTTTTTCATGCCAACAATATGTTTTTAGCTATGTTTTGGTCTCTTTTTATGACAATTTGGTTTTGATTCCTTTTTAACAAAAAAATAATAATTATGAAACAACATATTCTGATTTTAATAACTGTGCTCTTTGTCAGCTAATGCTGTGTTACTGTCAAACAAAAATTCCATTACACATGGAAATCTTTCATAAGCGCTACTGCAATTGCTGTGTTTATGATGTGATACTGTTGGATTTAAGGAACATTTATTGATCTTTACTGTCAGTGTAATAAGTGATAGTGTACTACACTGTTGTTTTGTGATCTATTTTCATTTGTTGTTCTCAGTGTCACAAGAAGCAATAAATAGCTGCATCTGACTTTGTGTTTTACAGCCACCTTATATGTTGGTGGTGTAAAGTCTGAACATCATGTAACCATATTCTGACATTGAGTCAGAGCACACAAATACACTCACCAGTACACCTTGTTATCTGAAATGATTGCGATAACAGCAGCAACACTGATGGCATATGCCAGGCAGTCCCTGAACAGTGGCCAACAGGTGAGACGCCCTGCCTGATAAAGGAAACAAAAATAAATGCTTTACAGCTTATACAACACATTGTATAATGAGTGTATTTACATGCACACTGGTATCCTGGTTATGATCAGGTTGTTAGAGAATGCTGGTGTTCCATTTTTTTGCATATGTTATTCCTGGTTTGAGACGCCTAGATATAAGTACTTCTGTAGAAGCTTATCGCTGTTTCTGAACCATTTTATATTGGCTGAGATGACGAGAAATCACCCTAGCAGGCAGTCAATCAGAAACCTGTACAGTGGTTACTGTTATGATCATGTATACAGGGATATGAATACCATTGTTTTTCGTGTTCCATGTAAATGCTATATCCCAAATATAATAAAAGTCAGGCTCAGGCTCAAAACCAGGATACTACGGCACATGTAAACACACTCAATGATTTTTCCGCTTTGACACAGTAAAGGTACAGCTTATATGTACAAGTAGAAGTTGGGTAATCTTTCTCTGAATATTGTGTCAGAAGGTACCATTGAGGCCAAGAGTCCACATGCTGCACAGATTCCTAGCAGGTTGTACACTGCTGATCCCACGATGGTGCTGACCCCAATGTCTCCCTTTGTCACAAACACACCTAACACACACGAAGAGCACAGGTTAGCTTTGACAGGAACAATGTGGAGGCATTGATTAAAAACAAGAGGAAGTGTCTGGAGAGCAAATACAGTGCTGAGAGGAAAAACATCCTAATTAAAGGCCACAGTCTCTTTCTGTTCCCATATGGCGTTGAAGTCACAGTTCATCGGGTTGGGAAGGGAAACACTGACAGTGATGAGGAAGCTGTTGTCATCATCGTCAACATTGCTGATTGTAATTATTCTTATACTAACAACATAATTACCCAGAAAGGCTGTGACCAGTTCAGGTGCAGAACTCCCAGCTGCCATAAATGTGGCTCCTGCTACATCCTGAGTCAGTCCCAGACCTAAAAGAGATGCAAGAAACACCAAGAATATACAACAATTTACTTGGTGGGTACCAAACAATAGAACCACCTGATGCAATTCAACAATACCACAAACTACAACTACAAAAGTGACCACTTAACAATAACCGACACTTCATAAAGGTCATATTTATTGTAGAACTAAATTTATTGTATGGTATTATATTAGCTATATTGTGTAATCTATCCAGCCCCTGTAACTTAGTTAAGTTTACATCTTATTAACGATTAGCACTTATTTGATTAGTCAATCAACAGTTTTGATAATAGATTAATGGTTTCATTCATTTAATGATGCAAAAATACAGAACATTTCTAAGTTCCAGCTTCTAAAAATGTGAGGATTTGCTGGTTTTCTCTATTTTATATCTTATATCTTTAACTGAATATATCTGGGTTTTAGACTGTTTGCCACTTTAAAGACATTTGAAAGCATCAGCTTAAAGCCCTTTAGTTCAATGTCAGTATAACTGATTATAGAGGTAGGCCTACACAAATCAAATAGAAACACACTTTTACCACAACATGGTAAAAGTTATTCAACAAAAAAACTGTTTAATCAGTTATACATAGCAAATAATACCACTACAGACTTCCAAACTGCAAATGAACTCCCTTAACTGAACATTACTAATTGAAAATAGCTACACATATTGTATGCACATAGGCCGCAACATATTTCATGTCACTTACGTTCACTGATCAATTCCAAGGATGGCAGAAAGTAGTCATCGCAGACTATTGCGACAGCCAAAAACATGTAGAAAATAATCATAAAATAAATGACGAGCCCTCCATCCTTCCTCTCCTGCACCGTGAAGAAACCACCAGGAAACTCGGAAGACTGCGGTGAGATGCATTCTGTCTCATTCTCTGAAACACACACACACACACACACACACACACACACCACCATCAGTGACAAAATCTGTCAAACCCTAAACATCCCGCCTGTTGCTCGAGATCTGCAGATAGTTTGAACTCTTAATGGCAGTTACACGCTATTTCATGCCAATAAGACATGAGGATTAGTAGAGTAAACAACTTTCACAGCTACTGAGCCCCAATTGATTATTCACACTTTGTAAAACACCAAAATGAGCCGTGACATTTATAATGGGCACGTTAAACAGATTGGAATAATAAAACAAACCTATGTAGGAATACTGAGGGAAAACACTAAAAAAGTGAGCAAAAATCACACACACATTATTTCCCCTCATATTATTTCCTTACCAAGAGCCCGACGCACCCTGGCAGGGTGGCTTTCCTGAGCTGTTTTTGCTGTAAATGACACAAGATGGACCGTGCAATATAAAAATATTACAAATCCTAAAAAGTAAGGTATGAAGTCTTTTCTCTTCTTTTTCTGCAGAGCTGCAACCTTAGTCATGGTCAATTTAAGTCAGTGAAGTGAAATTAGCAAGTATTCCAAGGAGTCATATGTTTCTTTAGTCTAACAAGCTTGCAAATAGGCGATTAAATAAGATGCTTGTAAGCGCCGCATCTAACACTACACTACGACTACAAGCTGCAAAGAGAGAGATTATTGCGGGGAGAAAGCATCTTTTAAGGTCTGGCTCTACCGAGAAGGGGGGGATCACGAGTTATGAGTCATTCCAGTCGATTTGAACACCCTCCAGCCTGGGGCGCATCAGGGGTGTAATTTAACATAAAGCCCCTTTAACACATCTCTATCACATCTTTACATGTGGAAAATTAGTTGTTTATTTTCTAGTAACGGAACTCAAATTTGGCATGCCTATAAATATTAAATAGTGTAAGGCCTGAAGCTCTGCAGACTAGAAAGTTTGAAGTACCCCTCCAGTAAAAAAAAAAAAAAAAAGGGGGGAAAAAAAAAGCTTTTCTTTTTGTTCCTCCAGTTGTTTTAGTTGTTTGAGCTTCATTGTGAAGAATATTGTATTTCCAGAGTTTGACACTAGAAGGACGTTTTCTAATCGATGTGCTGAAAATGGAGAGAGAATCTGATTTTAAAGGGTGGTTCGGTTTCTAACACATATACTATATGTGTTATTATATGACTGGGGGGGATTTTTAACTTTAACAATAAAGCTTTGATGCTTGATTTTAGCACCAGCTTGAGAGACAATTCACCATCATGTGCATTAATGGCCACCCATGAAGTGTCAGGAGTTAGGTACCCATAAAAAAAGATCAAAATGTTGGCCTATAAACCAAACAAGAAAAATATAAACAACACATGCATGTGACACAGTAATCTCTATAGATATATTTCCCAGCAGCCATGTTGACATGAGATAGTAAGGTAACCATATGTGTGTTATAAATGGCACTAATTACGGTTTAGTTCCATTTAGTGCAGAGCTTTTTCAGTGAGCCAACACAGTGGCAGCATGATCGACTCTGTTTGACCTGAATGGAATGGGGCCTTAATTAGTATCATTGGTAACACCTGGGTTTACCCTACTATTTCATGTCAAAATGGCTGCTGTGAACAAGGTCTATTAAAAGGTCCACTTACTGGATTTCATCTGCAGTTTCCAAGCTATGACAATACAGACAGATACAGCCTGATTGGGATATAATATCATCTACTGTATAACAATATAAATGTAACTTTATTTACAATGTGTGTATCAAACGATAAGCAATAACCTCCTTACTCTTACTCTTATTAGACAAGTAACAAGTAGACCTGGATGATTAAAAAGGTGTAGGGGTGTGTGTGTGTGTGTGTGTGTGACACTGACTGACAGCTGACTGACGGGGTATCGGGCTTGCTTGGACATGCCCCAAGTTGCCCTAAAATCCACAGAGCAGGAAACCTGTGCGCACTCACTGGCAGACAGCTCGCGTTCAGGAGACGTTAAACCGACTGATGGATCTTCACTGCAGGGACAGACTGACAGGAGAAGTGGTAAGTTTGGTTTATGTTGCAATCGCTCTGCACTGAACTGAAGTTTGCATGTGCTGAATGAACCATGTAGCAGGTTATATGAGGGCAAAACAATGACCTGAACACGATTCTTTGAAGCTTGACAGTTAAGTCACTTTGCATAGTTGGCCCAGAACATCAGATATATTAGGCTGCACATGCTTCTCCTGCTGTGACTGATGATATAGTGTCAAAACAGTGGTTGTTTTTTTGTTTGTTTGAGTGAGTAAATGGCGCCCCTGTGTGGTATAATTATATCAGTTTGTTGGCTTTCTTAAAAAACACTTTTGTGAGTCATGTTTGATTACTTTTTGGAGCTCAATGGTTTAATATTACATATTAAATTAGATTTTATGAAGTAGATGATATTTCAAACCTAATATAACTTTAAAATAGTGAAATGATTCTATACATTTTTAAATGTAGCTCACATTCATGAAAATCCTATTAATTCAACCTGCTTAATTTCACAATAACAGAGTTTAGTCATTATTATTTTATTTCAGATTTTATTTCAAAATATCTCTTTTCTAAAGTCTATCTTTTTTATTTTACAGCACTTTTTGAATGCCACTTTTCTTTACTAAATGGAGGACATAGCTTTTGAGGAAAGTTTATAAATCATCAGCTTATTTATACAAATATATATAGTTGTCTGTATTTATTCACAAGATTATTTATATAATAATGTCTATTTATTCATTTAATAGTGAACGTTCTGGGTCTGCAGGATGTGACTTCAGTTTTCTTTTATGGTATTTTTATATGTGGACGTTATTTCATCACCAGACTAGCCCACAATATGGAATACTGCTAAAATGACAAGCTATCCTTTTGGATAAAATCATATGTATTGATGACATACACTTATATTAGGTGTGATATCAACTGTTATTATTACTCACAGTGTTTAGGTCTGGTTGTCTGAGTGACTCACTTCATGAATATGTTTGTTATTGTCTCTGACCAGACCTTCATCCAGCCAGTAGGTGCCAGTATTGCAGCAGGAAGTCTTTGAGGATATCTTAAAAATGTGATTGTTAAATTCACACTACAATATGTTAGAATGTTTGGGTTTTTTTAAATGGAGAGTAAAAAACATTTTTTTAATGAGTTATTAGTTAATATCTAGTTCAGAGTTTTCACATTGTACTTTACCTTCTGCTGTGTCTAAGTAACTATTTGAGTTTCAGGAATTTAAGGGTCATAGCAGCTCCATTGTTCTTGTTATCAAGGACTGTGAGCTGCAGCCATCTTAAGAATAAATACCTGGCTCTTTTTTTATTTACAGATTTTTGTCCCACTGAGATAAATGATTTAATAGCACAGTCTACAGAGGACTGTGTATTGCAGTGTGTGTGTGTGTGTGTGTGTGTGTGTGTGTGTGTGTGTGTGTGTGTGTGTGTGTGTGTGTGTGTGTTGGAGAACTAAGGTAAAATAGCAGCTTGCCAAGAAAGCTCTCCATCTCATTTGTCATCTGAAACCTGTGTGTGTGTGTGTGTGTGTGTGTGTGTGTGTGTGTGTGTGTGTGCTTTCACTTGTGTGAAAGAAGATACAATGGAAACTTGACAATGCCTTGTTCCATCTCAGTTGGCACTGGTATGCTAGCTCTTTGGAATAAAACTCTTAAAGTACCCCTTCCAAACACAAGGGGAAATCTTTATGATATGATTATGTGTGAATCCTGTGTCATTTAAAGGACACAGTTATAATATGTCTGTGTATTTTTGTTAAAATGTGTGGTAGAAGCAGAGCATGTGTGTTTTTAAGGGGGGTAGCTACAAGGAAGAGGAGTAATACTTGTCAGTTTGCTTTTCAGCAGCAGCAGTGATGTCAGTCACAGAAATAGGGGAAGGAAACGAGCCAAACTAGAAAAACTGGTTGAACTGTCCACTCATCATTACACAAGAAAAAGCCAGCAGGTTTTATTAGTTTCACAAGATTACTTTGTGTTCCTGACCTCTGTCCGTGAAACTATCCTTATCATTTTATTATCGCGTCCTACCTTCCCTTATACTGTTCCTTGGCTCTTAAAACCGCACAGGTCTCTGTGTTTTGTGTACTTCAACTTGTTGAATGCTAGCACCCTGCCCTCTGCAAGGAGTGTTCAAGGTTCAGGAAGATAACGAGAGGTGAGTGGCTGACGCATAGCTCGTGTTGTGTTACCAAAGGCTCATATCGGATTACGGCAGACAGCAGGTTGGGTGAAACAGCAGCTGTATTCAGATCGCCGTGGCTCAAACACACCAGGAACTGGGACTAACAAAGAAGTTTTTCTGAAGCTAAAGAAGCTAACAGAGGGCTTCCTGTTGTTTTGAGAAGGAAGTTACCATGGGTAAGAAGACACAACACAGTCTGCTGCTTTCGCTGTGTTTGTCAGGGTTTGTTCACTATTCAGCTGCCTTCGTGTTTTGGACAGCCGTGGTGGAAATAAGCTATGTTAACAGCAACAATAAGACTGAGGACAAATACTGTGAGTGTGGCGTGTATGGTCGTAACTCTCCCCTGGAGAAAGCCTCTGGCATTATTACGCTTCCCAAAGGAGACCCCAAAGGCTGTGGCTCAGATCCTGTCTACAATCGCAATTCCAGCTCACCTGCTTGGATAGCTCTGGTTAAAAGGGGCAACTGTACCTTCAGTGATAAGATCAATGCTGCCAAACGTCAAGGAGCAGCTGGTGTGGTGGTGTACAACATGGATGGCAGTGGCAACAGCACCACTCACATGTCGCACCCAGATGCAGATGGTATTGTGGCTATCATGATTGGCAACACTCAGGGCATGGAGGTTGTCAAGTTGGTGAAGAATGGGACAGAAGTTCAGATGCTTATTGATGTAGGCAGCCCTCATGGACCCTGGATGGACACATACTGGCTTTACTTCCTGTCCATCGCCTTCTTCATTGTCACAGCTGCCTCGATCACCTACTTTGTGTTTATCTCTGCAAATCGTCTGTACAATCTAAACATGCACAGGCGCACCGACAGGAAGCTGAAATCTGAGGCTAAGAAGGCCATTAGGCGTCTACAAGTACGCACACTCAAGACAGAGGATGAGGAAACTACTTCTGAGTCCCATATGTGTGCCGTGTGTATTGAATCATACAAGGCAGGCGAAGTGGTGACAGTGCTAACATGTGACCACATCTTCCATAAAGCCTGCATCGAGCCCTGGCTGCTGGAGAGGAGGACCTGCCCCATGTGCAAGTGCGACATCCTGAAGGCCCTGGGGGTTGAGGAGGAGACAAAAGAGGACATTTCTACTGAATCACCACCAGATGTCACTGTGATCACAGTGACAGGAGGAGAACCATTGTACGAAGTCCCACTGACTGACCCAGCGAGCCCTGACCCAGAGAGACAGCATCGCTATGACAACAGGGCCTTCCAGGGAGACTCTGAGGCTGCGAGAGGATGAACAACAGCATCAGAAGCAAAACAGCAACAAACCAGGACACAGTCAAATTCCCTGTTTGAAATATGATATTTTTCTGGGACACATTGAACCAGCACAATGGAATCAAACTATAATTTTCCAACACGAAAAACAATGTTGATCTTGTAATGCAGGCATGCTAAAATAGATTTTTAGTCAAGGATTTAATATCTTAATGGACCTTGTGTAATCAGCTTGGATGCCACTGCATTTTCTTTGTCTGTCTTGGTGCAAGTGTTTAATTATTGGGTGTGTTCATAAAGTTACCATTAGATGGTTAGAATAGATGCTGTACACTGAGTAGTCATGGAGTGTGCCCAGTGTCAAATTGCTGTTTTGCATAGTGAACACACCAGCTCGACAGTCGACACTGGTTAGAGAGGAAGTGCAGCAGAGCATTTGACTATCTGTTTGAAATTGGGGCCAAATGTCCTCGCACAAAAAAGCTTGTCTTGTTAGTTTCTCACAGTCTCACACAATTGACATTTGTCTTTTAAATTCAAGGCTGAATTTATTTCTTAATTCAATTCACTTTAACAATTTGACTTTCTTTCTGCTCTTTTTAAACTGGAGTATGTTTTTCCATTGTAATTGCCAGGTTGTCAGGCTGTATTCGCAAACACACCCTTATGAACACACCCTTGACTGGAAAAGCAGCATGTCATGCATTGCACTGCAATGAGTGAATAGTATCACCTGAGGGGCTGGAACTCTTTAGAAACATCGTCTGCAGAAACATGTTCACAACATTTAAAATAGGAATTTTTAAGCCTTTTTTAAAATTGTGGGGTTGCATATAGCTCCTTTTGTGTGTGAGAGACAGGGTAATATGGCAGTGCAATAAATGTCACAGGAACTGTAGATGATATGCATCCAAAATATGTTATCTGTCTCTTGGATAGGGGAAAATCATCTTTACGTGTATTGTTTTTTTAAATTATATATACTGAGACCAATTTAACAATCATGAAGTTCTTTCTACATAATATATGTAAAGCCCTCTTAACAGCTGATTTTCATATATAAACATTATTATTGAACAGGTCTTCCAGGTTTTTTCCTTTTGAATTTTTTGGAATTGAGTTTATTCAAGCCTTGTGGTCTACCTCTAAACTCTTACATGTGTACATTTTTGAACATGTTTGAGATTCTTGCAATCAAAGATTAAGCGTCTCCCTCTGTAAATGATAAAGCTAAAGAATTGTTTTATGTTTTTGTTTGCTGGTGGGGATATGCTGATTATGGTACTTAATATATTTTTCTATATTAAATTGTTTTCACTACTCTTTAACAGATTCCAGGAGTCTTAGATTGTTCTGTAAAAATGAATATGACTTGCTGTATTAAATCACATTGATGCTTATTAGAATGCAATAAATCCCTCAAAATGAGGCCAACTTTATGAGCATATGTGCTTGTAAGAATGCGTTTATGTATGTGTGGAGAGGGAATATATGGGTGAGAATGAATGTGCAGGTGTGTTGCTTTACATCAAGCAGGTCTATGTGTGGTTAAGTGGTGTCTCACTCTCTGAGTTATAGTCTTGT